AATCTAATTAGCTACGTATGGCTAGTGACTACAGTATTATATGGCACATGTCTATATGTTTTATTTTAAGTAAATTTCTCAGCTAAACCCCGATATTTCCAGCTATCACTGCAAGGCAGAGCACACTCAATTGCACTTACATGAAGGAAGGCACTATCCCAGTTTTTTGGGAACTCTCTCTCTAGACATAAGAGTAGAGTATTTTTTTCAACGCTCATCTTTAGAGTAATGAAACCTTGATTTTATATTGAGATCCTGGCTTGTAAAAGCAGAGCTAATAGAAACCTCTCAAACAGGCTACGTGCTGACACTGACTGAAATTCTACATGGAAACGATCTTCAGATTCAGGCAAGCTAGTAGCAAGCAGATTCTATACCTTGATGAAGGAAAATAAAGAAGAGAAATGATGTAGCAGTCCTTGGATTCTCAGGGACCGGGATGCATAACATAGAGAGGTTCAAAATGTTTTCTGTGTGGCTTCCAGAAGCAAGGAGCAATTGAAAGTCTCCATCAGAATTCTCTCTGCATTTAAATATGGTTCCTCTAATACTAGTTTTTAAAAAGTCTCTGATGCTTCCCATTGGCCAAATTCAACTAAAAGCAAGAGAAGAGAACTCTGTTGATGGAGTCCATACAGCTCTGCTTCCAGGGGAGGGATCAGGAAGAAACAGGTTGGAGAGGGGCTCAGCATGAACAAGCGGGAGATACAAATCATATTCTATTTACAACATATTAACAGGACTCTAGAGAGCTATAGGACGATCCTGTTCTTAAACCATGTAGATAGGCCTGCAAAGAGAAAGAAAAATTAAACAAACACATAACAAAACCCATTTGAGTCACAGAAGGTGCTGACAATTTTGTTTTTATATATTTATTATTTATTATTATTATTTTTTTTGAGGCAGGGTCTCACTCTGTCACCCAGGTGGGAGTGGTGCCATCAAGGCTAATTGCAGCCTCTATGTCCTGGGCCTCATTTGAAAAAAAAATTTGTAGACACGAGATCTCACTCTGTTGCCCTGGCTGGCCTCAAACTCCTGGGCTCAAGCGAGCCTCTCACCTTGGCCTCACAAAGTGCTGGGATTACAGGAATGGGCCACTTAGACACTTCTTTCCAATCTACACCTCTGCTCTTCATATTCAATGGGACAATTTTCATATATAATACATATTTAAGATTTTACTTAATCTAGCAAATTTTTGTTTTTTGCAAGATATTTGACTGATGTAAGTTTAAATAGTCTACACTTGTCTCTTCTTTTCCTTTCCCAAAGAAAGCAAAATCAGACCTACGCATGGTGGCTTACACCTGTAATCTCAGCACATTGGGAGACCAAGGTAGTAGGATCTTTTGAGCCCAGGAGTTCAAGACCAGCTTGGGCAACATAGTAAAACACAATCTCCATAAAAACATGAAAAATTTGCTGGGATTGGTGATGCAGTCCTTAGTCCCGGCTATTTGGAAGGCTGAGGTAGGAGGATCACTTCAGCCTGGGAGATGGAGAGTATAGAGAGCTATGATTGCATGACTGCCCTCCAGCCTGAAAAACACAGCAAGACACTGCCAAAAAAAAAAAGAAAATAAGGAAAGGGAAATATATTAATTTTCTATTACCAGTTAAATGAAACCACATTACTAAATAATGGCTTGAACTCAGACATGTACTCTTAAATCAAATACCTTCGAACTTCAAAACTAACAGTAATTATTTGTGTAAAATTTTACAACCACAGACAATATTCACAAACAAAATGAGTTTTGAAAGACAGATGTATATATATGTATGTATATATATATATATATATATATATATGTAAGTGTATCAAAGAGTAATAAACATTGTATAACTATTTCTTATATCAGTAGTTGATAGACATTATTTAATATTTAAACTATGGGATACTACTTTTAGTATTCATTTTATGTTTATGATTATACCAAAGTGAAAATGAAAAAAAAATGGCTGAAATATATTAGTGTCTCACTATTTTTGACCATTAACAGTAAATTAAAAAACAAGTAGAAAATACATGTTCTAAGGGATTCTTGGAATTTTTGCTTTTTATTAAAAATACCAAGTAATAATCAGTTATGTTTTATTGAGTGCTTACTATGTACCAGGCATTTTGTGAAAATGCTCTCAATAGCTTATTGAATTTAACTCAAAACAAAGTGAGTGAGGCTGTCTTACTTCACACACCAGTACATTGTGACTGAGAAGTATTAAGCTGTTGATTGAATGCAGACTTGTACTATGTAGGACAAGATGCAACTCAAGTCCAAATCTAACTCCAAAGTCTTGACTTCGATATAATGCCTTCTCGCTATAATATAATGCCTTTTCCCTTCCATTTTTCCATTTTTCCTTTTAAAGCAAAATACATTTCAGGAGAAACTGAATCTCCCTTTATAGAAATGCTTAGAGCAAATCATAAATTATAATTTTCTAAAACAAGTTAACTGTAATACCTTGCTAGAAAGGAAAATGGATGGTATTTTCTTCCTAACACCCATTTAAGCTCTCTGATTTCACAGTTTCACTGATTCATGCTCTTATATCAATAATACCAATAATAGTATCTTTTGAAAGAGAAGCTTAATTTCATGCTAGACTTATTTAATTGATACCTCTTTGACAATCAAATGCTTTGTTTGAAATCGAGGGAAAGTGAATGCTATTTCCTCTTCTTTTGGTGAAATTGTATCCCAATTGTTTTCCTTGAAAATTCCCTGTGCAAGTACATTTTTCTAGATTTAAATCATTTGCTAGATTTTTATGGGTTACTATGGTAGCTTGTTATAGTAATGGCTCTCAGCGAACTTGTCTTGCTAGTATCCATGCCCTATTTTACTATCTGCCTACAATGAATTTGGGCTTGGTCATGTAAATTGTGACGGCCAACTAAAAATCAGCAAACGTGAAGCAGAGACTTAAACATTGATCTCACCTCCTTACAACAGTGCTCTGAAATATCATGTCATTAAGAGTATGATGTGAGACAACACAAAAAGGGATTCCCAGCCATCCCAACTCCTCTCACTGACCATGATCTCCAGCCAACCCACCAGCTGAATTCAGCTGTGTAAGAAATCTAAGGTGACACTAGTAGAATCAATCTGAAATTGTCTATCATCCATTAGGCTACAGGCAAGATTACTTTATTTCGTTTTACATTATCCTAGGAACATTTTATCCTTGTTTCCCTAAAAAAACGTTACATATTTTGTTATTATACAGTAAATTATTTATTCATTTACCAAATTATTTTAGCAAATGTTTGTTAAGAATCTACTATCTATAAGGTGCCATATGAGATGGTGGATTAATAATAGTATTAATAACAGTATATTATTTCTGTCATCATGTCATTATAAACTGGTGTACAATAAAGAAAATAAAGAAGTACATTAAAAACATTTTTGTTACAAATTTGACAAAAGCTATAAGGAAGTGTTCCTTGTCTTAGTAATACTTAGGCCTGGAGGATGAGGCGAACCAATGGTTAAAAACTCCGCCCAATGGCCGGGCGCGGTGGCTCAAGCCTGTAATCCCAGCACTTTGGGAGGCCGAGGTGGATTGATCACAAGGTCAAGAGATCGAGACCATCCCGGTCAACATAGTGAAACCCCCTCTCTACTAAAAAAAAAATACAAAAAATTAGCTGGGCATGGTGGCACATGCCTGTAATCCCAGCTACTCAGGAGGCTGAGGCAGGAGAATTGCCTGAACCCAGGAGGCGGAGGTTGCGGTGAGCCGAGATCACGCCATTGCACTCCAGCCTGGATAACAAGAGCGAAACTCTGTCTCAAAAAAAAAAAAAAAAAAAAAAAAAAAAACTCCGCCCATCCATGATTAACAGAATTAATGTCACATACTCTAAACTTTAAAAGCTGAACTAACAGACTTCTCTACATATAACTAACAGAGATCTCTAATAACAGAGCTCACGCTTGGGTAAATACTATCACCACTTTATTGATCTAACGATTTTGTTCTCTAGGCAAATACCACAACAACTTTATAGATTCATAATATTTATTGGACAAATATTTGACTTCATTCAAATGTACATTAGCACTCTCATTCTTAAAAGCCTATCTTGAAGTTTGATAATTCATGACCACATAGTCCACTTTTCACCTTCTTGCTCAGAGTCTTAGTATAATGCACCATCTTTCCTAATTTGCACAACATGAGATCCCTGCTTTCTTGCTGGTCACAAATCTTTGAGGAAATGTCAATAATACACAGAAATAAAAGAAAGCTTGCCCTTTTGATGTATTAAAAAACCTGGATGTATTATCCCAAGCCTTGCTTCAGGAGTACTTTCTACTTTCTTTGTTTGTCTCTTGCAATGCAACAGGTGTAACTGACAAAGTATCATTTTTTCCTCCTTTTATTAATTTGTGGTCTATGACTTTTGATTCCAAATTCTGCCCAGGTAAAGAAAAGGGAAAGTAATATTTCAGACAGAGACTTGAGTGCTTCCAGACCATGTTTTTTTTGTTTTTTGTTTTTTGTTTTTCAGAAGGGGAAATAATATTATTTAAAATATTTTAGATAACGAAGCCCTGAAAAGAATTTAATTCTCCTGGGTGGAAATTGTAATGCATTTGATAAGCTAGTTATATTAAAAGGAAGTAGCTTGGTGTTGGTTAAGCATTCAAGTTCTGGAGTCTGATTACTTTGGTTTGATTTCTATCTCTATCTCTTAATAGTTGTTGAATTTGGTCAAATCATCTAACCTTCTGTACCTCAGTTTTCTCAGCTGCAAAATGGGAAACAGAAGATAATGAGTGTTTCTCTCACATGGTTTGTTCCCAGCTGGAGTGAATGCACACTGTGTGGGCTGGCTCATGCTAGCTCTTATTACCATGGCATTATCAAATTTTTTCCAGATTTTCCCTTTTACTGAACTACAGCCCAGATTTCCTCAACTCTTATTCCTCAAAAGTTAATGTTATTTTCCAGTATGATAATAATTACAGAGAACTATGCTTACCTGGCAGGGGAGATATGATGATCATGAAGATGGTTTTCCCAGGGCGAGGCTTATCCATTTCACTCCGGATGTGCTGGCCCCTGTAATATCCCCAACTGTGGAAAACTCGACTGAATAATTTGTGGTAGTTGGGGACTGTGTTCGTGCTTTCCCCTGATTTAAAAATAATAATAATAATCATAATCATAATAATTTCAGAGGATTATGAAAAACTACATAAGCAGAAGTACTCATCAACAAAACCCACATAAATTCTTTAACCAATAAAATGGGATTTTATATTTGCATAAATAAAAGTAATATTCATTTGGGTAACAATATTTTATATTTTGACATATAATCTTTAAAGATTTGTATCTGAGAAAAGATAAAATGGTCCAGTTTTCTATAATCAAAACTTAAGAATATAAATAAGATATAAATTCTTAGGAGGAAAGATTTTTCTAAATACAACAAAAAGTAATTGAAATGAAATACATAAAACCCCTAATTGCCTGCCAGACTGATTTGTATAGATATACTTCCTAGAATCATTGACTATCTCACTGAGAACAGTGTGACATACTTCACTTATTGATTAAGACTACATTCACTTAATTGACTCACTGATGTATGAAGAGGCCTATTTTTCCTACATTACCAGGTCAATTTTCATTTTTCCTTTTCAGTGAAAATTTATCTGAATTATCAGAAAGCAGAAACAAAACTACAGTTGGCAGCTCTTTGTAGTGGAGACCCAGATTCAGAACTACTGACCGTCATTCCCAGGTTTGTGATTTTAGGCATGTCAGGAGCTATGTGATTCAGGCAAATTAATTCCTTTGCTTGTATATGGTATATAAGAAGAGAGATGGAAAGTACATTATCTCTAAGGTATTTTTCACTTCCAACCTATCATAGCTTACATGTGCCCTAAAATTCCAACTTTACATTACTTTTCAACACTCAAAAAAATATGTTGAATTATTTCAAGGGATACTTTTCAAATACACAAATCTTTCTTAAAATGTTATTGAAATTAAATGCAATGTGTAACAAGTATTTTGTGTCAGGTTTATACAATCATATCAAATAGACTATCTTAACATATTGCAACTGCAAATGTCTTGAAAATTTAACTATAATCTTGCAAAAAATTATTATATAACTATGATGCATGCTTCTTCACTTATATTTCATAGATTAAAAAAAGAAAAAGAATATCACGTGAATGTTTCTAAACCTAATGACACCAATTAACTGACATTAATAGACTCCTAACGTGCTAGAAGGTTAATATTTTAACTTCATAAATGTGCATGTTGGTTTCCTTTTTGAGGTTTCTTTCTATCTCTATCTCTATCTCTAGCTCTCTTTTTTTGTTTTGTTTTGTTGTTTAGCATTCCAGAGGTTTTCAACACACTGTTGAAATAAAGAACAGTTGCTGGTGCTATGCTTCTCAAGCTTGTGCACCATTTAGCTTATTCTTAAAAAACACGAATCTGCCCTGGTCTGTTCCTTTTACTTAGGAGATACTGGAGTCACACCCACTATGTTGTGGGCGTGGAGGCCCTGCTCAGACCACAACCTCATTGCTTTACACAAATCTTCCCTAGACACTACCCTGCTTCCTTCACTGCTGCTTTCTTGAGCTGCCAACTGATATACTCTGTTGCTTTGCATAAAAAAAGTGTCGTCTTCTCCTGGCTAGTAGGAATAGCTTCTTTTTTTTTTTTCTATGCATGAATATTTTAGGGAGATCCCACAGCACAATTGCTTAACAGCCCAGATCCTAAAGCACTTGTACTTTTATGAGCGGTCTTTGTTTCCTTGGGATGCACAGCTGTCCAGGACTGAGTGTTTCATTCTAGCTTCTGTGCTCAGTCTGGTGAATTGTTCTGGATTCCTTCCAGTTCTGACTCTGTTCCTCCATAACGAGTGTACCAGTTTCTTGTGTTCATATCTGAATCCCAAGAGAGATCACAGTTCTGATGCCTTGGCAAATCAGCAGATGTAGCTAGACATAAGGTGAAAGTTGGTTCTAAGGGAATGGTGTACAATAGGGAGTTGCCTAAGGTGACATGGATTACCAATATTAATTCCTATTGTGATCCAGCTGAGACACAGGATTGCATATGGAAACCCTCCTGTTGTGCATCTCAAAATTAAATCATTTCATTAAGTATTCTAAATCTATTATGGAGATTTGTAATCCATTACAAACTAGGATAAAATAGTTTGTAATAATAATAACCTGAATTTATATTCAAACACTAAGCAAAATTTTGACCAGCGAATGCATTAAATTTTAAAACAAAACCAAAATGCTTTTTAAAATATCTAATTAATACATTTTTTTAAAAAGTAGGTGAAAAGCAAATATAGATCTTTAAAAATGGAAAACACACACAAAAATGTGGGAAACATTTAGAGGAATAAGAAAAATCACCTCTTCAAAATTATTCCTATTTGGAATCAAGTTATTTCTCTATGTGGATTATTATTGTTATTGTTATTAGTATTTTAACTTAGCTGCTACATACTTTCTATATAATTTTACAAACTTTACTTTTCACTTAGGATTATTATGTATCTGTAAATCCATGCCATTTACCTAAAATATATAACAATTAACTGTAAGGCCGGATTCATTACCAACCTATAGCCATAGCAAAGATTACGAAGCCTTTCTCTATCATTGACTATTGAAGTTTCTTTTAGTCTCTCACAATTTCAAAGTAAGAGTTTTGTTGTTGTCATTTGTTTGTTTTTCAGAGACAGGGTCTTGTTCTCTTCTCTCCCCCAGGCTGCAGTACAATGGGAAGAATATAGCTCACTACACCCTCAGACTCCTGGGTGCAAATGATCCTCCTGCCTCAGCCTTTCAAGTAACTAGCACTACAAGCCTGCACCAGTACGCCTGGCTCAAATTAAGTTTTAATAAACATATGCATGCTAGGCATATATATAAATTCTGATTGTTTAAGGAATCATTACACAAAAAATATTTACCAAATATATGGTTGAAGTGTGTAAACATATTGAGATACTTAATACCATCATCAACTGCTTTTAAATAGAGCACCAATTTACACAGTTGTAATGTATGAGAATACTTAAACTTTTTAACATTTTATTTTTAAATCCAAATACATAATTTAATAGTTGAACTTTTAGTATGTAATGTAGAAGTGTGAATAAAAATTTATTTAAATTTAATTCCCAGATTATGAAAGTCATTAATTATATGAAGATAATCTAGTTTCTTATATTAGTCATAAACTAATATAGGCAAAATTCTACTGTAGTTTCTTTAGAGTACATATGAAGAATATTTTCCAAGGTTTCCTTATCTGAGAATCAAAAGTTATTCATCTTTCTTTTGAGGCAAAATATGCCTAAACTTTACTGAGACAAATTGCAGAACATTTAAAAAAATCATCTCCCTCAATTTATTGCCTCAAAAAAAATCACGTTCTAACCAGTACTCTTTCCAGAAATAGATTCCTAACTAGTAAAACAAATATGCTATAATCGTTTATTAAAATGAAATACATGTTTAGTAAACTGAAATTCATTATGAGGCAGTTTTATCCAGTAGCACCTAGAGTCACAAAACGGTCTTCCGTGAGCACAGGGCTGTCCCTGTGATATATAGAGCACCAAGCATTGGAGCAGAAAAGCTATTTTCTGTGGATAGCCAGATCCCCAGGAGAAGAGGAAGAGGAAAAGACTTGGTCAAGAATACACACTTTCTGCTCCAACGTTTGCCAACAGATAGCTTCCTCCACCTCCAATGGAGAAAAGAAGCAAGGAAAAGGCCCAGAATTTAAGGGATAAGGCCTATTTGTATAGACTAGGGTGAGAGTGAAGAAACCATTTTAATAATTATAGATGATATCTACTAAGCACTTTAAAAGGGTGGTTCCCACTAATTTATATATTTTATCTTATTTAAATCTCCCAACTACTTGATTATGTAGGTATCATTGTTTTCTCAACTCTACAGATAAAGAAATAGACACTAAGTCATATAAAACAAGTCGTTTGCTTAAGGTAGCAAAACTAGAAACTTGTAAAGATGAAATTTGAATGCAGGTGGTTAGACTCCAGAGAAGTTTGTAAGCAGTCACAAAACTCAGTACTATAATATATATCCAAAATTTTAAATTATATTTTGTGCTTTTAAAAGTGCTCACTAAAGTGAGTCCATCCAACCGTACCACTGCATTAGTGTTAAATTTTGCCACGGAGTAATTGGCTACTTAGTGGCAAAATATAGGACCAGAGTTGATTGATATGCCTCCCAAATTAGGGGGGCCTTGGTCTAGTTTGAACCTGAATATTTAGGGTAAGTCAGAATATGATATGTCAGTGAGGCTGGGCTCTGTCATTTGCCTGTATCAACAAGAATCCCTGGTTTGGGACCTGGAAGGTGACACACACTTAATTCATCTTATGTATGTATAAATGGATAGATGAATGGGTGGACTAATCTATAATTGGATGAATGGAGCCAGACTGGACTTGAGTCAGGGTTGTATCATTGCATTAGTTTCTTTTTTTTTATTATCTTAGCAGTGATCTTGAAATAAGAGTACCGGTGTTTAGCTAATAAAAAACTTAAGCACGCAATATACAGAGGCTAAGGTTCATCACTGCAGTGCTTTCTTTTAACTTCAGTCCCTGTGGAACTTGCTTTCTGCTGGCTGTCCTCAGGAGGTCACTCTCAGTTTCTAGAAGCATTTTGAGTTTCTTGCCAAGTGAATTACTGGACATTTTAAAGCCAACAGGGGAAAGAGAGACACTCTAGCAGACCAATGTTTTCATCTTCTTTAATGTAATCAGGTACATCTCAACAGCTTTAGTGTATTCTATTGACAGAAACAAATCACAGGTTACGCCCACATGCAAGGGAACATTCTGCAAAGGTTACCATTCTTACTAAAGAAAAAAAAAAACAGGAAATAAATTGATGAACAAGGTATATTATTATTGACAAATACTGCTTAAAAAAATTCTTCCTTATTAAATAAATCAACCACATGAATCCCTGAACAAAAGGTGCCACTTCCCACTGGAGATTCACTTGACTTTAAAGCTTTCCTTGGGGGCTTTTCTGGAATGTTCGTTTGAGATATAAGAATGCTTGTGCAATTGTTTCCATTAAGATTGAG